AAGGGGCTGTGAGCAGTAGTGGTAGTAATAAAGGGGGAGAAGGACGAGTTCGAACAGGGAGATTCAAACGATTAACTAATGCTGAAATGCAAGAAAAGTTGAAGAAAGGGGAATGTTTCAAATGTGATGAAAAATTCGGGCCTAATCACATTTGTAAAAATAAACAATTTCAAATGATGATATTGGAGGAGGATCGAGGACCCCAAGAAGATGCTCCCAATGAGGGTAACACTCTGGTTGATGAGCAAGATATTCAACTGTCCCTGCATAGCATAGTGGGGTTAACAACTAAGAGATCTCTGAAGATACGGGACACAGTAAAACAAAAACAGGTGGTAATTCTGATATATTGTGGAGCTTCCCACAATTTTGTATCTACCCAATTAGTGCAGGAATTGAATTTAGTAGTCACTGAAACTTCTTCTTATTTCGTGGAAGTTGGAGATGGCCACAGAATTAAATGTCAAGGAGTATGTGAAGGATTGTTGTTCAAATTGGCGGATATGGAGATCAAACAGAAATTCTATGTGTTTGGTTTAGGAGGAGCGGATTTGGTGCTAGGGTTAGATTGGTTGGCCGGTTTGGGAGACATTAAAGCTAATTTTGAAGAACTTTCTATCAGGTTTAAGGTAGACGGTGAGGAAAAATTTTTGAAGGGAGATCCAACTTTATGCCGATCATCAGCATCTTCCAAGACTATGTTTTGATTATTGCAGCAAGAAGAAGAAGGGTTTTTGGTGGATTGTTTTTCACTGGAACAAACAGTTCAGGATAGCAATGAGATTCCTATAGAAATGTTACAACTTTTACATCAATTTCCAACTATTTTTGAAACTCCAGTAGGTTTACCACCATTTAGAAGACAAGATCATGCTATTCATTTAAAGGAAGGATCTGTGATTCCGAATATCAGACCTTATAAATATCCTCATTACCAAAAAACGGAGATTTGAGAAGTTGGTAAATGAGATGTTGACAGCAGGGGTTATAAGGCCTAGTATTATTCCTTATTCTAGTCCCATCATATTGGTACGGAAGAAGGATGGTAGTTGGAGATTTTGTGTGAATTATCGGGCCCTCAACAAGATAACTACTCCTAACAAATTTCCGATTCCTATTATTGAGGAATTATTAGATGAACTGGGTGGTGCTACTATTTTCACTAAGTTGGACTTAAAGTCGGGATATCATCAAATTCGAATGCAGGAAGAAGATATTGAAAAAACAGCTTTTAGGACTCATGAAGGCCATTATGAATTCTTTGTGATGCCATTCGGATTAACTAATGCTCCTTCCACATTTCAAGCCTTGATGAATGAGGTATTGAAGCCTTTTTTACGCAGATTTGTGTTGGTATTTTTTGATGATATTCTCATCTACAGCCCAAGTTTGGAATGCCATATCGATCACACTAGGCAAGTGTTACGCATACTACAGGAGCATTCTTTGAAGGTTAATAAGGAGAAGTGTTCTTTTGGCCAAACCAGCCTAGAGTATCTAGGACATGTGATTTCTAGACAGGGAGTGGCAGCAGATCCTAAGAAAATTGCTGCTATGCAGGAATGGCCAGTTCCTAAAGATGTGAAGGGGTTATGTGGATTTTTGGGGCTTACGGGTTATTATAGACGGTTTGTGCAGGGATATGGTAGACGTGTTAAACCCCTAACCCAGCTGCTTCAAAAGGGTGGTTTTTCTTGGAATGCAGAAGCTCAGACTGCCTTCGACGACCTGAAACAAGCTCTTACTTCTTTACCTATATTGGCTGTTCCAGATTTTACTAAAACTTTTGTGGTGGAGACTGATGCCTCTAGCCGTGGTTTAGGAGCTGTCTTACTTCAAGAGGGTCGTCCTCTTGCTTATTGGAGCAAGGCTTTATCTGCACGAAGCAAACAAAAGTCAGTATATGAAAGAGAGTTAATGGCAGTAGTACAGGCTGTGCAGCGATGGAGACATTATTTGTTAGGAAGCCATTTCGTCATCCAATCGGATCAGCGGAGTTTAAAGTTTTTGACAGAGCAGCGACTTATGAGTGAAGAGACATTTAAATGGGTTTCTAAGCTCATTGGTTATGATTTCGAAATCCAGTATAGGCCCGGCAAGGAAAACGCAGCAGCGGACGCCCTGTCCCGACAAACATATTTTGCTGCTGTGACTGTCTTACAATTTCAGGAGTTGGAGAATTGGGATGTAGAGATATTACAAGATGCAAAACTACAACAGCTTTGGCATGATTTGATAGTTGATCCTAATTCGCACAAGGGGTATGAACTAAGAGGAGGAAGACTTTATTTTCAGGGCAGATTGGTGGTACCAAAAGGGTCAACAAAGATTCCACAACTTCTAGCTGATTTTCATGCGTCGACAGTAAGTGGTCATTCGGGCTATTTTCGTACCTACAAAAGGTTGGCGGCAGTGGTTTATTGGGAAGGGATGCACAAGGATATAAAGGATTTTGTGACAGCTTGTGATGTTTGTCAAAGGAATAAGTATGAGGCCTTATCTCCAGCAGGTTTACTTCAACCGTTACCTGTCCCTACACGGGTTTGGTTTGATATTTCAATGGATTTTATCAGCGGGTTACCAAAATCAAAAGGGAAAGACACTATCTTTGTGGTGGTTGATAGGCTTACTAAATTTTCTCATTTTTTTCCCCTTGGTCACCCTTATACAGCTCAGGATGTCGCTGTTGTCTTTATGACAGGAGTGGTGAAGCTGCATGGCTTTCCTAGCTCTATTGTGTCAGATAGGGACCAATTGTTCATGAGTCAGTTTTGGAAAGAGTTGTTTAAGAGTGTTGGAACTCAGCTCCGATTTAGCACAGCGTACCATCCGCAATCGGATGGTCAAACGGAAGTGGTGAATAGGTGTATTGAAACTTACCTGAGATGTATGACAGGCCATAACGAAAACAATGGCCAGATTTTCTCAGTTGGGCAGAATACTGGTTTAACACAAATTACAATGCTTCCACTAGAATGACACCTTTTAAAGCTTTGTATGGCCAAGATCCTCCTATCTTGTGGAAGGGTACCACTGTTCCTTCAAGAGTGGAAGAGGTTAATCAAATGACTCAAGACAGAGATGAATTATTGAGTTAGTTACGAGCTAATTTGTTGAAAGCCCAAGATTATATGCGTTCTCAAGCCAATAAGCACAGACGGTTCCTTGAATTTCAGATTGGTGATTTTGTTTATCTGAAAATTCAACCATATAAGATGAAATCTTTGGCTACCAAGGTGAATCAGAAATTGAGCCCTCGTTATTATGGCCCTTTTAAGGTTTTGGATCGAATTGGTGCTGTGGCGTATAGATTGGAATTACCGGATGGGAGTAAGGTTCATCCTGTGTTTCACATTTCTCTCCTTAAAAAAGCGGTCACACCTCCAGCACAAGCCCATCCTCTTCCTACTATGCTTCAAGCGGATTATGAATTGATAACTCAACCTGAAGATGTTCTAGATGTTCGTTGCCTGAAGTCAGACTTGTGGGAAGTTTTAATCAAATGGTAGGGGCTTCCTGAATTTGAAAATAGCTGGGAAAGTTGGCAAAGCATTAAGGAGAATTTTTCTGTTACCCACCTTGAGGACAAGGTGCAAGTCCTAGGGGGGAGTATTGTTAGAGATCGTCCCTTGAAGGTGTATAGGAGAAGGAAGGGATCAGTTGTAGGGGAGCAGAACCCAAGAGCCCAAGAGACAGTTGGATAGTTTTCAACTAAAAACCGTTACAACTTAGGTCATTATAAATAGAAGAAATAAAGATAATCAAGGGATCTTGTTTTTTTGTAAAAAGTAACCTTGGGAGTAGACTGAGAACTACTCGAATAATTCTCAGAACATTAGTGCATGTATTCTGTTGTTCCAGAAATTCAATAATATTGCATTCTTTCTGTACCTAGTTCTATCAGAAACTAATGACAGAATCATTGTCCCTATACTTTTTGACTTGTCTTTGCTACACTGCAGCAGCAAGCACTACTAGGACAAATTTGGAGGTCTAAGTGTTGCAAAACTCATCCAGTAGGATCTTCAACTTAGTAAAGTATCTTATCACATATAAATCCCCTTACTCTAATGGATAAATATCGATGTATAGTGGGAAATTTGGAGATCACCTTGGGAAAATCTATCTTTCAGTTCCTTTGAAACATCCCCAGCAGAATCAATCCAAATGATGCTTGTAGTGATTTTTGTTGGAGACTGAATGATTTAACCATGAAAGTACTAACATGCTGCATCTTTTCCATGCTGCATATGCTGAATGAGAAGGATCAAAATTCAAAAGCCTGAATTGATCCATCAACAAACTCATGCTTGTTTTAATTATGGAAATCCATGACATGACACAAGCCCAACTATGATAGTTATGGCCTTCAAGAATGGGAGAGACAGGGACAACATATATATGTAACAAATGTTTGATGGATCCTGAGAACAATTGGTGCTGCTCGTGCATTGGAATCCACGATAGCAACCAGAGAAAGAAAGAATAAGAAGAAATACAAGAATTCAGAGAGAAGAATGGTGGTTTACAACTTATACCATATTTTGATAATAAAAGTAGCAACTTGTTATTATTGAGTGCAATGGAGTGTTTGAGTGCAACAAGTAAAATAGAAACTAACAGAACTAAAGCAGAATGGTATTAAAGAAAAGCTAACTGAAATAACTAACTAATTAACCTATAATCTATATCTAACTGATCTTGTAATCTAAAATGATCTTGTAATCTTGACTGAATATTGATACTTGATGGGTGTCGTGTGTATGAAAAAAATTGAACATCTTTCAGGAACAGCAATTGATGTTTGATAAACTATTCCCTGATATTCTTTACTTCATCTGATGATTAACAATACAAATAAAATCTCATCTGGTTTTATACCAACTTATTGTTGTCTGGTATTAAATATACTTGTTGCCAATGTATATTAATATTTTTTGGGAGTGGCGTTCTAGTGTTTCCTTCTTGACAGTATTTTCTCACCTTTTATGCTGAATCAGGCCTGGTGGCTTGCTAGATAAAGAGGGAGGTCTTCGGGAACTAGTTGTAGGGAAAGATGATATGCTTCTTCAGACTGAAACCAAAACCATACCTAGAGCTGATGTTGCAGAAGTCTGCGTTCAGGTATATTTTTATAAAACTTTGTATGGGCACAAAAAAAAATAAATAGCTTCCCCGAGTTGGAATAAATGTTCTAAAAAAATTTGTATTCTTTAACAAGTTTTTTTGAGGTTTGGATATCAATTCTTCATTTAATTGGTTTGACAGGCACTAAATTTTGAGGCGGCTTTATTTAAGGCTTTTGACTTGGCATCAAAACCTGAGGGAGTAGGTACACCAACAAGGGACTTCAAAGCCTTGTTTTCCCAGCTTGAGTCTCGTTTTTGAATTTGAATGCTGTTGTCATGGTCATTTGTGCTATGCCATTTGGAGCAAATTACTGTCTTGAAAATAATGTTCAAGATTGTCTATACTGAATTAGAGTCAATAGCATTGAGAATATGTCGTGTCTTCGTGTTTTTAATTCCTTATTATTTCTTTTAAAGACGCTTTTTAATTACATTTATTTAATTAGACTGGATTGTAGCGTTCATATCATCTCACATACTCTTGGGAGCTGAAGTGGACTTGTACAACCATTTTTTAGTTCCAAAATTGGGATTTTTGGCCTGGGGGATTGGTTATATCTTAATTTTTGAGACCTAAAGTAAGAATAAAATTTATTAGGCACAAACTTGGACCAAAAAATTGAGTTTTGAACGAAAAAACAAAATATTTTAAAGGAGTCGTCATAATTTTGAAATTCTGATCTTGCACTCTCAAAAGTAATCTCCTTGGCCGACCTAGGTTAAATCACAGCATTAACTCGTTAATTTAGAAGTCAAATTACAGTAACTAGATATCAAACCGTAAGTTTTTAAAGAAAGAGACAAATAATCATTCATAAATGACTACTTTATCCTAAAAAATTTATAAAATGACAAGTACCCTTCATGTACTAAACGTAATATTACAATAAATTGGATAAAACTCATGTTGATCTATATACCCGTAAATTTTGTGTTACCAGAAAAGATAATTACAAAATGCATACACACTGAATTATTAGGTGAGACTTAAGGGAAAATATAATTAAAATTAAGGTATTTCAAGGATTTTGACAAAGAATGAAAGGACAAAATTATCCTAAAACTCTCACAGTTTTTAAGTTAAAAATAGAGGACTTGTTGACCAAAATTTCTTCATTAGAAAGAACTTAGAAACACCTTGTTTCATGTCCAAAGAATCTCCAAAAGTGGTCAATAGAATAAGAAGCTTTAAGGTTACAAAATTTAAAAAAATCTATAACAAAGAACTTTGTTATGAGCCATAGAATTGGACAAGACCATTGGAAACTTAAAAGTAACCATGGTATTCACGAAGTTAGAGTTAAACCAAGAGACAAAAACAATGTAAGAAACTATAATTCAGCATCCTGACTAAATGGTGGGAGGAACTTGTATTTAGATCTATAAATTAAATTTTTCCTAGGGATATATGTTAGGAGCTTGTTATTCCACTTGCAGCCCACAATTGCCCCTACAAAAATTTAAAAAATCTCCAGCAAAAGACACCAAAAAATCATGACCAAAATTCCTATAAATAGAGAAAGTTGGAACTTTTTCATGCAACTCAAAAAATATATTTTTTCTAAACACTTGCCACAAAATAGACTATCCAAGGCAAATTTATACACTTATGAACCCCAAGTCTCACAACAATCATACAAATAAAAAATAAACACAAACGCACCAAAAGCATCAAAGAAACACCAACCTTTTTTGAACCCATAAGCACCTACCTTTAGGGAGTATTTTTAGATCCAAATAGAAGTATCTCAAGTGTCAAAGGAGATCCAAGAAATAGGAAAGGAAGACAAAACAAAACCCACAAAAATGAGCCAAAATTAGGTAAAGGAAGGAGATACTATACAATTAGTACACAATAATTATGTTAAATAATTATTTGTTGTGTAAAGGAGTCTCTTATCCCTTTTAATTTGAATTATATGATAAAATATAGTTTGTTAGCTTTCAATTTGTTTGAAAAGGAAGTCTATATATAACTCAAAATTTTGGTCATAACTGCCAAATTGATGAATTTTGACATAATTGTCAAATTTGTATTTCTCTGAATCTTTAAAAATCAACTAGCATTTATATAACTTAAATAATGGATAAATTCTTTAATTTTTTTATAATTTATTATAAGTAATAAATCTCATCTATCATAATTTTTTCCTTACCCTAAGCATTGCTTTTTTGCTATTCTACATAAATTTGAAAGGTGAGTGAAACTTTATCTAACTTTTCTTTAATAATTATTTTATATTTTTTATCTTATATGTTAAAAGGCTACGCACCTTGGTCCAAAGCGAGGATTGGGATAAGTTTTTCCCATTCTCTTTAGTTCTATTTGAACTAAGTCGAATCTTAACAGTTATGTCATTCTTCTATTTCTTGCTATCATTTACCTTGAATAATTGTATTATTTCGGTTCTTAGAAAATAATGCATAAATTATATAAACAGTCATGAATGTTATTGACTAATATAAACTTTTTTATTCCCTTACAACTATGAATAAAATAGGGAAAAACCTTAGAGAAAACCATGACGATGAATCTTTCTTCCCAAGGGTCAAAGAGAAGGTGAGTGATACAAATTCTAACTTAAGAAGCTATACTATTTTCTATATTATTCAAAGATACTCTAATATAAAAGTGGTTGAATAATGCTAGGTAAAGCGTGAAACAAATAGTGTAGGTATAACTATAAATGATAGCAAAGTACCCTAAGTCCTAACAAACAACTAAGTCTAACTAACTTATGTTGTTGGCATTGGAAAACATGCTAAATTATCCTGACATACATTATCGCATGCCAAGATTGGTTGGATTATGCTTCGCTAAGAATGGTCACACATGAAAATTTATGCATTATATGGAATCTTGAGGGGATTGATGTACTAGGTGGCATTACTTGGACCGTGGACATAGAACTCTTAATCTTTCACCATGAAAACAAAAAAGGATAATTACTTTATAGAGAAAAATGTTAAAAATATGAAATTTTCTATTATATATCTATAATTTTTTTAATTATTTGGTTTTACTTATTCCTTGTGAAATAATTCTTGTATTAAACACATTCACCCTTTCTTATTATTATGAATAAAACTGAGAACAAGATGAAAGTTGGTCTTATCACTGAATGTATAGTATTCTCGTTTGGCATGTGAGATTACAATTTCATAAATTAGACTATTAAGTTCACTAGACATGAGTAGTATATCATATTGGAAACTGATAACTTCATAGTTGAAATTTCATTTCCATTAAATTTTGCAACTCATTATCTAGGCATCAACATGACCTTACCAAAAATTGATGGAAATGGAGAGAATCCAAATGAGTAATAAATTTTCCTAAATAATATAGGTATTTGTAAATAGATAAGTTAAAGTATTTAGAAGGACTTACTTTTTCTTTATAAATATAAAAGGGACTTTATTAAAATATAAAATGAGATTTTCTAAAAAAGGATGTCTCATAACGTAACTCTCTGTATTACGACGGTAGTAAATATTTATTAAATAAAAATTGATAACATAATAGTTATTTGACTATGTTAGGTTAATATTATCAGTTTATGTCATTCGTACTTTTCTTCAATAAATATACTTTATAAATAAAAATATTATCTGTATTATTTTCAACAAATAAATTTACAACAATATTATTTTACAAATTTTTTTGACGTTTTTCAAAAATTATGTACGTAGTTATTTCTTTTAAAATTATAGCTATGTTTTACTTATTCTAAGTTTTAGAATATATTTTACCAAATTATTGATTTTTATAGAATATTTTAAATTATTTTCAAAATAGACTCTACCAATTTTTAAATAAATTGTAAAATAGCCTTATATTTTATTAAATTATAAAAGTTCCTTTTACTAATTTTTTTTAATTCTTTAAAATAATTATTTTTCCTTTCCAGAAATACACTTTTTGGATGAATGAGAGATTTGTTGTGAATCCTTATCAAAATATAAATAGAAATTAATATAATACTAGGGTGCTAACCTAGGTCGTCTCCCATGAATCATTGGACGAGTAATCAAATATCAAACACATGGTGTGCAGTGTATTCAGAAAGCAAGTAAATAAGGGGAGTTTTGTGATTTCAAGATCAATGTAAAAAGCAAGAAACAAAATTATAAAGTTTAATTAATAGAAAAGGGGGCAATAGGGAGTCTTGAATGGTCTTGATCTCAAGGTGTTGGCATTAGCATCCTCTGGATTGACAGGTGGTTGTGTAGATAGATTACCAGAACCTTGAGATTGCAAATGGTTCAAAGTAGAAGCCAACTGTCCAATCTGATTTTTCAAGTTTTGAATAGTTGCTTCTGTTCTCTATTGGAAATTCAGATCATTAACCTTGAGATTGCAAATGGTTCAAAGCAGAAGCCAACTGACCAATATGATTTTTCAAGTTTTGAATGGTTGCTTCTGTTCTTTGTTGGAAATTTAGATCATTAACTACTATTTCTCTTATCAATTCTTTCAAGGAAGACTCACTCTTGCAAGGTGCAGCAGTTTGTGGTGGAGGTTGATGTTGTTGTTGCTGTGTAAAATTCCCCCATTTCAAGTTCGGGTGACTCATCCAACCTGCAGGTTCATACAATGTAGGACAGGAATCAGTAGGGTGTTTCATGTGAAGCACATATCTCACATAACCTTGCAGCCCTCGGTGACAATGCTAACTGCTTGATCAAAGAAGCTAAATCATCTAGCTTGTCCTTTAATTTTCTATGATCAGCAACATAATTATTTTCCATCTCATAAACTCCTTTAGTTAAGGCCACTGGATTGCTTCTGGTATTGAACTGCTGATTATTAGAAGCCATATTTTCAATTAATTGCCTTGCTGCAATAGGAGTTTTATCTACCAAGGCTCCTCCACTGCCTGCATCAATCATTTGTCTATCCATGGATATAAGACCGTCATAGAAGTATTGGATAAGAAGGTGCTCATTAATTTGATGATGTGGACAACTTGCACAAAGCCTTTTGAATCTCTCCCAATACTCATACAAACTCTCTTTGTCCATTTGCTTTATACCACAAATTTCTTTTTTGATTGAAGTAACTCTAGATGTAGGGAAATATTTTTCCAAAAAACATTCTTCCTAGACCATCCCAGCTAGTGACTGATCCAGGTGGTAAATAGTAGAACCAATCATTGGCTGTGTCTTGCAATGAGAATGGGAATGCTTTCAGCTTTATATAATCCTCAGGAACTCCAGCTGGTCCCATGGTGGTACAAACAAGGTGGAATTCTTTGAGGTGTTTAAATGGATCCTCACTTGTAAGACCATGAAACTTGGGCAACAAATGAATCAATCCAGACTTAAGCACACAAGGTGTATCTATATTAGGATATTGGATGCATAATGTCTGAAAAGGTACATCAGGTGAAGCAAGTTCTCTCAAAGTTTTCTCAACCATAATATTTAAATCAAAATGAAAAGAGTCTAGCTAAAAAGCTACAAAATTATGCAGAAATAATATGCAGCAAAGTGATGCAGAAAAAAATGCAAAAAAAA